CTTGGGCCACTCTTTTACCAACGAATAGTAGGACTGACCGTCACATTATAACGCCCCCACGGTTGAAAGAGCGAGCATGTTTGGTGGGACAGGGATTCGAACCCGCGACCCGGAGAATGCGAGTCGAGTTCCCTAACCACCTGGCCAAGCCGGGCCAAGCAAACATGGAGTAATAGGATAGTGACTGCAAACAAACATGGAGTAATAGGATAGTGACTGGAGTAATGGAATTTCTGGTTGTAAAGAAACACGGAGTAATCAAGTTTTCATTTTACTGGAACTTAACCTGGTCCTGAAGTTTTGACAAACATAATTCACCCTTTATTTTCTATTTCTAAATTAGAAATATGATTGGTAACGTTTTCGCTTGCTTTATAAATCAAAATGTCTTATGATAATATACGTAATATATAAATAGGTGTATATACTACTCACTAGCACCAAGAGCGAAGTTTGTCTTAAATCTCCATAGACAATTCAAATCCCACCACTCTATGTTTGTCTACAATAACTTATACCGTTACTCCATGTTTTCTTACAGTCATTATCTCATTACTCCATGTTTTCTTACAGTCATTATCTCATTACTCCATGTTTTCTTACAGTCAATATCTCATTACTCCATGTTGCTTACAGTCAATATCTCATTACTCCATGTTGCTTACAATCAATATCTCATTACTCCCCCAACGGTTTTTGTAGTGATCACTTAAATCTAACAAACGAATTGAACAAGTCATCTCATGAATTACCTCGAAATTAACTGTGTGATTTGCATGATAAATTCATGTAAAATACAGAAACATTTCATTACATTAAAGAACAAAAATAAGAAATAGTTCGGTTTAAAGGATGTCATAAAATCTTGTATTTTTCAACTCCTAAAATGTCTCTAAGTATTAAGAAAAACGACAGAGAGAGAAAGAGATGTGAAGCACATTAATGTACTGTTACTGTTGTTTGTTAGCGTCCTTACGACATACACTCTAGTACTCCTCTGGAGGAAGTCCAGAGTCTCTTTCAACTCACGGAGCTCCAGTTTCCTTCTTCAGTCAGTGAAGGGATGAAAGATTTGATAAAAAAGGTAAAGTAAGCTATGTTTCCAAGAGTTGAGCTAACACTCACTCTTTCTGTAAGTTGAACATACGTTATTTTAATCTATCCACCTAGCGAACTCTTTGTTCGGCTAGTTGTCTTTCTGGGCTAGAGTTTCAACTAGAATAACGGAATATCGATTGAAAACAAACATGGAGTAATGGGCTATTGATTGTAAGCAAACATGGTTTTTTGTAGTGATTACTTAATTTACTAGAGTATTACACATAGAAAATTTACTAGAGTATTACACATAGAACCTAACAAATAATCAGTACAAAAACCGTTAGGTTCTATATGTAATACTCTAGTAAATTAAGTGATCACTACAAAAACCTTTTGGTTCTATGTGTAATACTCTAGTAAATTAAGTGATCACTACAAAAACCTTTAGGTTCTATGTGTAATACTCTAGTAAATTAAGTGATCACTACAAAAAACCGTTAGGTTCTATGTGTAATACTCTAGTAAATTAAATAATCAGTACAAAAACCGTTAGGTTCTATATGTAATACTCTAGTAAATTAAGTGATCACTACAAAAAACCGTTAGGTTCTATGTGTAATACTCTAGTAAATTAAGTGATCACTACAAAAAACCGTTAGGTTCTATGTGTAATACTCTAGTAAATTAAGTGATCACTACAAAAACCGTTAGGTTCTATGTGTAATACTATAGTAAATTAAATGATCACTACAAAAACCGTTGGGTTCTATGTGTAATACTCTAGTAAATTTAAGTGATCACTACAAAAACCGTTAGGTTCTATGTGTAATACTCTAGTAAATTAAATGATCACTACAAAAACCTTTAATGGGTTAGCTTGAGACACTTCTAGTTTAGTAGAAAAACATTCCTTAATGGGTTAGCTTGAGACACATCTAGTCTATTAAAAAAAAATCGTTAATCAGTTAGTTTGAGAAACGTCTAGTTTAGTTGAAAAACACACGTAAATGGGTTGTTGTTTGTTATTAAGCACAAAGCTACACAAAGGGCTATCTGTTCTCTGCCCACCACGAGTTTCGAAACCCGATTTCTAGTAGTATAAGTCCGTAGACATACAACTGTGCCACTGGGGGCGGTCAGGTTGTGATACGTCTAGTGTAGTAAATGCCCAGTCGTCAGATAGAGCATAACTGGACGTGATGGCATGTGCTGTAACAACTTGGTGAGGCTCCAAAATTGTTTTAATATAACATACTCAACCCCTATAGTTTTAAGGTAATCACAAACAAAACCCATGTTAAAAATGATATAGTTAATATAAAATAAAGAGAACTCTTAAACAAATACTTTCTACTAAACTAGACGTGTCACAAACTGACCCATTAATGAATGTTTTTCTACTAAATTAGAAGTGTCTCAAGCTAACCCATTAACAAATACTTTCTACTAGACTAGATGTGTCACAAGCTGACCCATTAACGAATGTTTTTCTACTAAATTAGACGTGTCACATTCTGACCCATTAACGAATCTTTTTCTACTAAAAGTGTCTCAAGCTAATCCATTAACAAATACTCTCTACTAAACTAGACGTGTCACAAACTAACCTATTAACATATGTTTTTCTAATAAACTAGACGTGTCACAAACTAACCCATTAACGAATGTTTTTTTTAATAAACTATATGCGTCACAAACTAGCTCATTAACGAATGTTGATCCAAAGGTCAGTGACAAAAGCTGTCCACATGTCCAAGGCAAACAGTATGCAACATAATTAAGTAAAATCTCCGTCTGGAAAAGTGACACGAGTCATTTGTACACAAATTGTTTCAACGATACATCACATTAATTCGCATACTTCAAACAACTGGAGGATGAAACTGGTAATTATGCTATTCCACAAGAAGACATGCCGGTCAAATCGCCACATGCAACACCTATGGATTTTTTGTGCAATTGAATTGTTGAAATGGATGCTGGAAAATCGTCGTTCTCGTACACGATATGGATTGTGGAAGGCATGCAGAGAATCGTGGTTTACTTCTGATATGACAGTCTCACGACGGAGTCTCTTGCAATGAAAAATATGCTGCAGAGCTATATTGATGCCGAATGTACAGAATTTTCAGGAACAATATCAGCACTAGATATGTAGCAGCAAGGTGAAAAATATTGCACTTGGAAACTAAAATATGACATTTTAAAAAGGAAAAAAGTTGACGTAGGGAAATATGTTTTATATTGAGTTTACAAAGTTTGCGTAGTTTTACTTTGTAATACTTATTTGTCTTCAATAGATGTGCGTTGCTTTATAAAAAGAAATGGGTTTTGCTTTGATGCAACAAAAATAGGAGATTCCAGAGCAAAGAAAATATGGTTTTATAATTGTAAAACATACAGAGGATTAAGTGTGTTATACTGGCATTGAAAACAAAATAATGTGGATCAACTTGGGATATTGGGGATCATCACAAAAGAGACTTGCAACAAGTCGTACCCCAGCCATGGTAAACAAAGTTTGACTTTTTATAACAGATGAGAATCCACGAACGTATAAAATGATTGAATTTTATTGTACATTTTAATGAAGATCACATTATTACGATATTATCCAATATCATTTTAGTTTTACGATGCGCGAGGCCCTGCTATTTTATAATGAATATTGTATTATTTCTCGTTACTTGCATTTTACGTTTGTCCTTTTTTTTCTCTTATTCTGTTATCTACTAAAGTTTTGTATTTGTATTTCCTCTTACGTTTTCTGCGTGTTTGTTTTCTATTTCCCATCTCAAACTAATAACAAACAAACGCGATATCTAAAATAATACTTGACCCCTCCTCCCCCCATAGGTGGCTCAGCGGTAAGCCCGTGAGCTTATAACGCTAAAAATCGGGTTTCTATACCCGCGGTTGGCAGAGCACGGATTATGTAGCTTTGCGCTTAACAACAACAACAACAACAACAACAAAATCTATCCAGCAAGGATGGTACTTACTGCTGCACACAACATCTCGTAGCAACAGACCCCTAACGACCACCAGTCCGCTGGAAATGTGTATCCTAGACATCGGTCTAGGGCACAGTCGAAAACCTCGGGCGCTGCAGCGAGAGAGAAAAAAAAATTAATTTGTACGAGTTAGATCTACCATCTTGGCATTTGAATTGTTCAGCATAGTACTTTATACATTGTTAAAAGCGTTGTATTTTGCATATATCCATTTATTTATTTTTCGATAAAAACACGAAAAATAATTTCATTACAAACAACGTTTCTCACGGTAAATTCATCACTTTAAAAATTGTCTTTTTTTTTTCTTTTTGGTGTAAGACAAACTCTTGAAGAAATTAATGATTTATTCACAACATTTTTTCACACTGCTGCAAAAGTTGATTCTATTTGGACTTTAAACCTAATTATGTTTTCGGCAAAGGTAAATACATGAGGCTTATTTACCGACAATAGAAAACTTTGTTCGGTGGAAAAATTTAATTTTGAAGATGGAATAAATAATTAATTAACAAATGACGTCAAACCGTAAATTTGTTTATTTGAAAATAAATCAGTTCTGTTAAAAATAATTTGTGCCTTTAGTCTACTACAGAAGTTATGTTGAAAGTAAAACTTGGAGTTTTTAGTTTACTACAGAAGTTATGTTGAAAGTAAAACTTCGGAGTTTTTAGTCTACTACAGAAGTTATGTTGAAAGTAAAACTTCGGAGTTTTTAGTTTACTACAGAAGTTATGTTGAAAGTAAAACTTGGAGTCTTTAGTTTACTACAGAAGTTATGTTGAAAGTAAAACTTGGAGTCTTTAGTTTACTACAGAAGTTATGTTGAAAGTAAAACTTGGAGTCTTTAGTTTACTACAGAAGTTATGTTGAAAGTGACACTTCGGAGTTTTTAGTTTACTACAGAAGTTATGTTGAAAGTAAAACTTGGAGTCTTTAGTTTACTACAGAAGTTATGTTGAAAGTAAAACTTGGAGTCTTTAGTTTACTATGCAATTGTTTAAAGAGATTATGTTGAAAGCAAAACTTCCAATTCGTTTGTCTATTCTGCGATATTTGTAAAGAAGTTATGTTGAAAGTAAAACTTCGGGTACGGTAGTCTACTATTTTGTTGTCAGTAATGTATTTGTAATATTTTTGATATAGAGAATTCTGACATCATTAGATAAGCTCAATATCTGCAATTATCTTGGAAGTTTAGGATACAAACTGAACGATAAAAACCTGAGTTAGGCTAGACTAGAAGGAATCGTGGGTTGATTATTACAACTTTGTATTTGTTGCTTCAAGAGATACAGGAAGTGTCGTACGTACGAGAAAATTAGTAAGTGGCATCTCTATTAAAGCATTATTCATTTGTAAAATTAGGCTTATCGTTAGTTATGTTGTATTTGTACAAATTGTACCGTAAAACTTGTAATTGGAAAAATAGAATGATTTATCTATCGTTAAGTGGACTGGGCTTTAAATCTTTCTTTTTGCCGAATAATCCACAAGTGCAACCATTCCAACAACAGAAACCGATACGACATTGATGTCAAGAGTGGGATTATTTTGCTGAAAATAAATTAGAATCAAGACTGAACTTCAAGATGATGACACATTATAGAAGCGAGATCGAAAATTTTGTGTAAATGATGAAACAATGAACAGAAGACCAAGAAAGGAGAGACAGAAAATGTATGCGAGATCATGAAGAAAGAAACGGGAATCTAAAAGAAGACCATGAAAAAAATACAGAAAATAAAAAGAGACCAAAAATTGAAAGAACGCTATAAAAATTAAGTTAAAATCAACAAAAAAGAGACAGTAATTAAATAGAGGAATTTCAAGAACAAGACAGAAGAATTGCAAAACCACATATGTGTGTTGGAAGAAAAGATAGAAAATGTAAAGTTTAAAAAGTGTCTTTTTGAACTTCTTCAGTTTTGTTACTTCGATTCGTCTGTACATTTATTATGGCTCCTATGACGTCTTTTTGAACTTCTTCAGTTTTGTTACTTCGATTCGTCTGTACATTTATTATGGTCATAGGAGTGCAAAATAACATCAGTACCAAGATGAAACAATTGAATAATGAATTTGTAAATGCAAAGATCAAACCAGCTCAAGAATTCCAACCTTAAACACCATTAACTATGAAATATGGAATAGGAGAACTCATCCGGTCTACATCCCTTACCACTACTGTTGTGTCACCTATGATTGCAGGATCTTCATGGACTTCTTCATCTATGCTACTAACTCATCAAGTTACAAGACTGAACTTCAAGATGATGACACATTATAGAAGCGAGATCAAAAATTCTGTGTAAATGATTAAAACCATCTGGCCATGCCAGTCTTGTTCGTTCTTAAAAGTTAATTAATTATGGGGTCTGTACGTTCTAATTAATTATTCATTATCTGTGTTTAATAGGATTGTTCAAGAGACTTTGAAATTTAGGGAAGTGGTGTTTTAGGTCATGTTTTTTGTGTTTTTTTTAATAAAATAAAATTGACAGACAGAGAGAGTTTTGACGTCATGAGATGAATGTGTCGTTCAACCTTTGGAACTTTTTGAAAGTATAAGAACTGATTTCAATGATATAAAAATTTAGCTAGACGAAACCAGAAGAGACTGTTGACTGATTATCGAGTCAGCCAGGTAGGTCAGAACTGTAAATTATGAGCTTGTGTTTTCAGTGAAGTTGTTTACAGTTAAGCAAAAAGCTACAAATGTTCTGTCCACCACGGGTATCGAAACCTGGTTTCTAGCAGTGTAAGTCCGCAGACATACCGCTGTGCCCCTGGGGGACTTTCATTGAAGTACTAGAGATACGAGAAGTACCATACGTCCGAGGAAAATAAGTAAGTAAAAACTATTGAAGAGTTATTTCTTCGTAAAGCTAAGCCTTTTGTTAATTACGTGAAATTTGTACAAGTTTTACTTGTAGAACTCGTAGTCGGAGAATTAAAACTCGACTGGACTTTGCATAACGTTTTTTACCGAATAATCCAAAAGCAAAATAGAACTTGTCAACAAAAAAAAATGTTACAATAAAATGATTGTTTAAATAATATTTTTAAAGAAAAGTGTAGATTTGCGAATCTACTAGAGAGGGTTGAGTATATTATATTAAAAATATTTTGACTATGCAAATAAGCAAAGTACATAGCAACTACAGCCGATATCAAGTTGCGGTGGAACGGGATGTATCAGAACTACATTTTGAGATTGACTTCTCGCTGTATACTTTCCATATGTCATTTAATGTAGGAGAATCACGGTGTCCCAGTGTTTGTTTCAACAGTCTCAAATCCATAGGTGCTACGTCTCGTGACTGGACCGGTATGGTTTGTATCTGTATGAAACAAGCATGAATACCCGCTTCCTTCTCTTGAGGTATGCGATGGTTGAATATAAAAGTGACTTATGTCATTTTTCCAGGGCAGAAATCCTTATTGATTATGTTGTATACTGTTTGTTACCGGGGGCACTTGGGCGGCCTTTTCCACTTACTTTGTCTTCGTGGCTTCTCGCCCGTTAAATGATGCCACATGTTACCTACCATGGATGTCCACGAGCTTAATGTAGGTCCTCCAACTGATTAATTTCCTCTGTTTCAGTGGTTTCAAGTTGCTAGTCCACAGGGAGATTTTAGCCAGTCTACAAGACATTTGAAATATTTGTTTCAAAATATAAATACTAAAGTATATTGTTTTACAATGTAATTTAAGAGTACTTTAGGAAGTTGATATTGTACAAAGTGGTCCATGAAATTTTGGGATCAGGACTAGCTCCGTCATGGAAATTTTGTATCCTTGATCCTATCACATATTTATGATCTGAGTGTAAGATAATTTTGCACCAGAAAGGGCTGTTATATACCCTTCCCATATATTATCAAATTTTGTGGTATCACACTACCTACGAACACACACACGAAATCGAATTAAGACTACATTAGGCCCACAGACAACTTCGGTTGGGTGTTCGGTTCCTCTGTCTCCCTCCACAAGCTCTCAATTTTTTCACACTAAAATTTTATTGATCAAAACAACATATAATGTATTTAAAATACTAAAGTTTCCACCCTAAAACTTGCCTAAGAAGGGTATCTAAAAAAAATAACATAACCGGACATCTTGAACACCAACACTGAAGTATTATTATTTCACAGCTTTTTTCTGAAGGTAGATTATAAATATCCAAACAACGGATTATCTTACTTGACATACCTGCTCCGAACACTTATATTTTTGGAATGTATGGTAAAGATTACTTTTAAAAATATTTTGAATTGACCTTCTTTGCCCAGACTGAGCCACGCTCTTCTTAACAAATTTCTTTAAACAATTATATACAAAGATTAAGTAAGTTATATTAAAACAATTTTGGTGCCGTCCATGTCGTCACGTCTGGTTTTGACGTCCTTCTTGACAATAGGCCTGCAGAGTAATTTCCATTGCAGAATGCTCCGTCGTAAGACATTCATGTTCAAAGCTCACCGTAAGACGTCTCTGCAATCCCAAATTGTTCTGAGATGTTCTTGCATGAACAGCGTTAAACTTCGCAACAGTTGTTCTGATTAACCCAGATATACGATATCCCCCAGAGAAGGAACAGTAAAATAAATGCTACTTCCATCTAACTCAATTATTTAGTATATGTGCGTCTGTATGTTTATCCAGATTATGACCGATAGAAAGTGGAGAAAGTAAACTGCCTGACTAATGCGGTCTCGAGAGGAAAGTTCGAAATACAAGCCGTGATGATGCTTGCAGTAAATACTCGTACGAAAACGCGCCAAGTCTCATTAGGGTCGGGAAGCGTTCGTAAACACGGAAAAGCTGGCTTACGAGTGCTCTGCGACGTGGATTACTTTGGACTTGCACTAATGGGCAAAGTCGAGACAATTTGTCCCACGCGTGAAACGGTAACAGGCTTGCTCTGGAGCCGTAAAGATGTTAATGAAAATAATATTGCGTTCAAATATGTATTGTTTATCGAACTTTAATTATGGAAACACTGGCAGCAGAGTTATTAATGATACAGCGTAGATAAACTGTAATCAGTATAATATAACAGCCTGTAAAATTTTACAAGTAA